CCCCCTTCCCTCACGGAATTAATCCTGGGAGGCGGGGCCCTTCGCTCCCCTCTTTTAGACGACCCGGGGATCCCGCAAAAATCAGGGCCCGCGCCCCTGGATCCCGACACCCAGAAAAAAGACAGCTCCTCCGGCATTTTTTTTTTTTTCCCTCGGGGGGGGGGGGGGGGGAAGAAGCTGGCATTGGGGGCGGGCAGGGCCCCTTGAGCTGGCAGCGTGGCCGGGAGGCGGATGGGAAGGCCCAGGGCGGGGGGCCCTCTAGCATCTGGCCGCCCTGGGTCTCTGCGCCCCGTGAGCAGGTGTTTTTTTCTGGGGCTGAGAACACAGCACAGGGCCAGCGGCCCCTCCCCCGGAACGGCCGGGTTCCAGCAGCAGGAAGCACCGCGAGGCACCGAGTTCCCTGCTTCCCTTTGACAGGTGGGGAAACTGAGGCCCAAGGAAGGCAGCCGTGCTGGGGCGATTGGCCAACTTCAGCGCCAGCCCGTTCTCTGAGCCCAGCCTGCTGCTTCGTTCGGCCGCGGGTCAGAGCATTTCGCCAGGCCGCCTCCTTCCCATGCCTCACCCCCCGCGTCCCCCCCACTCCCAGGGCGGCCCCGCTCACCATGGTCCTCGGGGCAGTGTAGCCAGCCCCTGGGCAGGGACAGCAGAGCCACCAGGCTGGAGCCCAACAGCGAGCCCACCCCCGACAGGGAGAAGAAGATGCCCATGATGGCGCCCTGCATGGAGCGCGGGGCCTCCGAGTACGCGAACTCCAGGCCTGCGGAGGAGGGAGGAGGGAGGAGGGAGGGATGAGCCAGGTGGCCAGGCCCCTGCCCACTGGGCCACCCCTCCCCCGGCCAGCCACACCCTGGCTTTCCCTCGATGCCTGACTGCTCCGTGGCCATGACAACACCCGTGCCTGTCCCCTCTGCCCTGTCATCCACCCCGTGACCTCCCCGTGGACACCCCCACACGGTCCCAGGATTCTGGGTCCCCTCCCCCATCTCTGCCGTCTTCAGCCTCTCTGTCCCCTGTCCTCTGCTCACCTTCAGTGTCATCACCAAGTCATTGGATTCAGCCTCAGAACCCTCTCCTCAGTGTCTGCCCCCCTCTGGGTCCCCTCTGCCCTGGGCCAAACCCCAGCGCTCACTTCCGGCCTAGCCTCTGCAAATGCCTCCGCCCTCCCCACAGCCAGATGTCGGGGACCTCTCTATGGGGTCCTCCCTGCCCAGGTCCCTCGGGTGGGGTTGTCGTCCTGGCGGGGGGACCTCAACATCCAGGGTCCACCCACATGGACCTGCGCCTGCAGCCCCCCCCCTCCCACCCACTCCCTGCAAGACTCAGCTCCCCGCTGTGCTGATCCCCAACCTGTGAGGTCCCTGCTGCCACCGCTGAGTTCCGTCCCCTCCCCACCTGGCCCCGGGCTCCCCAACACCTCAGGTCACTTCCACAGCACTCCCCCGGCTTGCTGTTCAGGAGACTGATCCCCCGACCCTCATCCCACGGGGAGTCCCACCCGCCTCCCCCTGCGCCTGCAGCTGAGTAGGCCCTGTTCTTGGGCTCCTTGGAGAGCCTGGCCCAGCCCTGAGCTCTCAGCTCACAGCCCAGCCCGGGATGCAGACACACAATTGCATTATCACAGCAGCGCGACCTGTGCGCGGGGACAGGTGATGAGGAGGGGAGGACCCTGTGCCTCGGGAGGGGCATTGGGGGGGCCTCGTGAGGGAGATGGCACTGAGGCCCGGAATTGAAGGGGAAACAGGAGTTCACTTTCAATCTGAGGGAACAGCCGCTGGGGACGTGGCAGCCGGGAGACGTATGGAAAGTCCGAACGGGAAGTGTCTTAGTCACCCCCAAATCCCCGTGCCCCTTGTAGTGCCCGGCATGGCCAGGTGCCGATGAACCCCCACTGGGTGCACGCAGCCCCACAACCGGTCCCGCCTCCTCCACGCAGATGGGCTCTAGAGGCTGTGCCGTGAGACCTCTGACCGGGAGGCACCACCAGGCCGAGCCCATTACCGGTGCGAGGGGCGCGGGGTACCTGGGATGCTGGCAAACATCTCACTGATGCCGATGAGCAGGTACTGAGGGGTCTGCCACCAGATGGACAGGGGCGCCGCGTAGTACACGCTGTCCCCGATCTGCTGGGGCACCGTCTGGTTGTGATGGATGTATTCTAGGCGCTTCATCTCCAGCAATCCTGCGTGGGAGAGAAGGACTGCAGCCAGGCCCACCCCAGGCAGCTTAGCCCCTGGCAGAGCGTGGCACACCGTGGGCCTTCACTAAGTAGCCAGTGACTGGGCAGCAGGCAAGGAACGCAATACTGGGCTAGGGTGTGTGTGTCAAGGTTTGGGTTCCAACTCTTCCCTTTTTTGCCTTGGCCGCTAGGAAGCTCGGAGCTAGGTTTGGCGCTCAGTAAGAGGAACAGCTCTTGCTAATTGAGAGCCCGTTGTGTGCGAGGCATTTAATGTACATCCTAGCAGATGAAGAGAGAGAGATTTAGGTTAAGCAACCAGCCCAGAGTCACACAGCTGATAAGAAATCGGGGCTGGATCTGAGCCTCGGTGTGTGGTTTCGAAGCTGGCCCACTGTCGGTGGTATCGCGTGACTCCTCTACGGCAGCATCACCGTAGGGTTTCTAGCCTGGCTTGCAAGTGGGAGATGTGCAGGAGGCAGCTGGTCGATGTTTCTCTCTCATCGATGTTTCTAACTCTCTATCTCTCTCTCCCTTCCTCTCTGTAAAAAATCAATAAAATATATTTAAAAAAAAAAAAAAAAGAAATCGGGGCTGGATCTGAGCCTCGGTGTGTGGTTTCGAAGCTGGCCCACTGTCGGTGGTATCGCGTGACTCCTCTACGGCAGCATCACCGTAGGGTTTCTAGCCTGGCTTGCAAGTGTCCCTCCTTCCCCTTCACGGCTTAGGAGGCAGCACGTGGAGTTGGGGTCCAGTCCTGGCCCCGCCACCGACCGGCTGTGTGACTTGGGCCAATCACTTAACCTGGCTGAGACCCGGTTCCCCGGCCGGGAGTAGGGCGGGAAGTGCCCGCGTTAACGCGAGGACGAAACAGGACGAAGTGCACTCAAGCACATCGCCCGCGAGGAACCTAGTTTGGTTCCCTCCTTGCAACACAAGTCTGTTCATTCATCGCTCTGGCTCCTACGTGTGCCGCAGGCAGAGTGCTGGGTGCTCTGCGGACTTCACCCCCTTTAACCTGCACAGCACTCCTGCGGGCTGCATCCCGTGGGCGGAGCCTGGCCCCTGGCTGGGGATGGATGACTCTCTCTCTGTTTTAAAGACGAGGCTCAGAGGCTCCGAGAAACTTGAGGATCGTTAGCTGACCATTTGCAAACGGTGGAGGTCTGTGCGCCAGCAGGGAAGGCTGCCTCACCTGAGCGCCTTTTTGATAAGTGGCTTCCAATTCTTTTGAAAGGGAAGAAGGAAGAGAATAAATAAATACTTGAAAAAAGATGTCCCTGGTGCTCCTAAGAGGCTGCATGTCTTTGGAAAACCTGACGTGTGTTCAGCGCCCGGTGCAGTGTGCACAGCTGTGAGTGAGAAAGGAAAGGATCCAGGCCTCGGCGAGCAGGCGTCCCCCTGGGAACACCTGCTTCCTCTCTCGTCGCTTCCTCAGGTGTCGAATGAGGGGGTGCTGGCTCCCGGGGAAGCCTCCCTCCGGGTCCACCCTCTGGGAGGCCGAGATGGCACCGCGGTGGGGGGGCACTTGGCCCAGGCCCGGCTTCGGCATCAGCCACAGTGAGCTGGCCGCGTCCCGCCCCAGCCCAGGCCAGCGCCCTCGCCCTCGCCCTCGCCCGCACGTGGCCCACACACCTGCCACGACGACGGAGGCGAAACCGAAGAGCATGCCCAGCGCCATCTTCTGCAGAGCCGAGGGGAGCAGCTGGCACCGCAGAAGGCAGGGGTCCAGCAGGCGGTCCTTCACGGGCACCAGGATCAGCAGCACCACCACGTTGGCCAGGAGGAGCCAGGCCTCCGGGATCTGGGCACGAGGGACCCAAGAGAGGCAGCTGGCAGGCCGAAGGAGCTCGGGGCTGGCGCCCGAGACTGGGACCCCAGACTGTCCCTGGGTGACCCAGAGCCAGCCCCCGCTCCCCCGCTCCAGAAGGCACACTCCTCAGCTGTGTAACTAGGGGTGGCAAATGGGTTCCTCTAACTTCTACCCATTGGTAGCGGCTGCCTGCACATCCACCAGCTCAGCATAGAGAATGTCTGGATTGATTAGTGATGTCTGCCACAGGCAGCAAAGGGGGTAGGTGGCCTATATGCCATTCTCCTACCAGCTCTGAGATGCCAAGGCGCTGGTTTGGAAAGTCCTGGTGAAAGGCAGGGTCCTGAGAGGGAGAGGCAGAGCGGAGGGGGGGACAAGCCGGGCAGCGAGCCCACTCAGAGCAGCGGGGGGGCGGGGTAGTGCACTGGCCTGAACTCTCTGGAGCAGTTGGGCATCCCGGCAGGGTGGCCAGGCGGTGGCACAATCCGCCCACCCTCCAGGTGCATTTCCCGTGCCCCGAGGGCACCCTGCCGGGGCGAGGGGAGCTCAGAGGCCGCTTCATTCCCTCCTCTTCTAGGGGGAGCCCGCCTGGCCTGACCCAGCTGCACACACTGCGCCTCACCTTGTAGCCGCCGGCCTGGGCTCCCAGCGCCCCCGAGCGGTTGCTGGGGTAGTTTGGGAAAATGTTCGGGATGTGGAGGTGAAGGCCTTGGAGGACATACGTGGACTGCATCTGCAAGAGAGGAGGGGGAGAGGGCAGAGCTGGCCGCCTCACGCCAGCCGGACCCTTGGGCTCCCGGCTCCCGGGCAGGCATCGCGCATGCAGCACAGGTCGCCGGGCAGGGTCCCGGCCCCGCCTCGGGGAGCACGACCTCCCACCCGCCTTGTTCCCCAGAAGCAGGCTTGGCCGTGCGCTGCGTGGCGGCTCTCTGCCAGAGCGGGCGCAGCTGGTGGGACCTGCTGTCTCCAGGGAGGCCCGGAGCAGGCGTGGCTGAGGGCTCCCACACGGGGAAGCGATGACACGCTGTCCCCCGGGCGGGCTCATGACAGAGGCCAAGCAAGTCCCAGGCTGACCGACTGGAGTGGCTCTGCACCTGGTGACGGCGCAGGCTCTGCGCCTTTAGATGCTATAAAATGGAGGGGCCCTGCCCTGGTGCGCCCACAGGAGGGCCTGGGCCGGGGTGGGCGCTGGCTACGGGCAGCCGCTGTTTATCAACCGGTGTGGAAGGACGTCAATATCCTGACCAGCGGTACGACTGAGAATCAGCCATGGACACACACACGCACACGCACACGCACACACATGCACACACACGCACATGCGCGCACACACGCACGTACACACATGCACGCACACGCACACACACACACGCACGCACACACACCTGCTCATCTTCGCCGCGGGGTGGGGCGAGAGGCAGAGGCCAGTGTCTGAGCAGCTGATTCTGCGAGGCACTCCCCCCACAGTTCCCTCTCGGTGGTCTGGGGTGGGACTTTATTTTATTTTATTTTATTTTTTAAAAATATTTTTATTGATTTCAGAGAGGAAGGGAGAGGGATAGAGAGAAACATCAATGATGAGAGAGAATCACTGATCGGCTGCCTCCTGCATGCCCCCTACTGGGGATCAAGCCTGCAACCCAGGCATGTGCCCTTGGCCAGAATTGAACCCAGGACCCTTCAGTCCGCAGGCCGACGCTCTATCCATTGAGCCAAACCAGCTAGGGCGGGACTTTATTTTTTAAAAGCTCC